GGTGATGGGCGCGCAACCATCCCGGATTTTTGTTTTTTGATGAAGCGAGTGTCGAGTGGGTTGAATTCACTTGACGAGGCTGGGTACGATGTCTGAGAGTGAATTGGACCAGGCCAACGAGGCTTCAATGGCTGTCATGGTAATGGCCTGTCACCTTTAGTGATTGATTACTATCATTATGGGCTCTTCTACTTACTTACTCACTGAGCAGAGTCTTTGTATGCAACGTGGCAACTGTTCTTGCCGCTTCTAGCTCACATGCTCAAGAGGTGAGGGTAGCGCAACCTGTTGGAAAATCGACGCTGCGCCATGTTGAGTCAAGGGGAGAAGCGAGAGCGCGTGCTACTCAACTTCCAGAACTCGGCGACAGGTCAGTTGATGGCAGAGCTTCGTGCCAAGTCCGACTGTGTGAAGACGCCTGATGGCCCANNCAGTAAATTCGAAGGCATCCGCAATGTGCACATACGAGTACGTGTGAAAGTACTGAGTGCTTTCGAAGTATGTCTGCTTGACCAGCTCTAGACTAGACGAGACTGATCAGCTTGGGGCGTGTGCAATACACCATGCCAAATCTCACATGGGGCAGTGAATGCTTCTGCGACCTTCCGCCGCAGGTGTCAAAATGAAGGGCGCTTCACTCTGTTGATGTGTTTGGGAATCAGTCCGATGCTCCAGCCCATAACACGAGTGTTCTGTGCAACCACAAACATTGTGCGCGCAGGCGACAACCTATGCTTCCCGCGCCACGACTGCCCCTGTCATTGGGCAGCATCAGTTTTTGTTTACATGGGGGCTATATAGGAGTTATAAAGGGGTTATATAGGGGTTACATAGTAATAATGGAAAAGAAAATGGATTCACGCCCTGCAAACCTGTAACAACTGACTGACCCACATCTTGAGAGCTCTCATCGTGTCCAGGAGAAGAGGGGCCCCTCGACAGTGGCGGAGGATCAGCCAGCTGGCAAGCTTGCGCGTGTGATGCCGCCGCCTGTGCCAAAGCAGGGCTGATGTTTAGAAGTCGAGGTCGCAGCAGTGGGAGACGGATTCTGTGTACTAAGTTGAAGTTAGGGCTCTGGGATTTCGGGGTTCATAATTAATAGGCCTGATCTGGGATACATATAGAACCCTTGATCCTTCCTGGACAGAAGGTTTACAGGCAAGCGCTTGAAATAGAGCATTATGGTGATTCAAGATTCTCGGTCCTAGGGTTGCATCGTCGCAAGAGGAGGCGTGCTGCGGAGCGCAGTCATGATAAATAGTGGGAAGCTTGCAGTAAATCTAAGCTAAAAAAGGGAAAAGAAAACGATTCTTCCGTCACTATGGCTTTTTTCTATGCCTAGTGTTTCTCACGAGATTTTCCTGTCGTCCCGTCGTTCGTGGCCCGTCGCTGTCATCATCGCCGTTGTCATCGTCCACGTTCGCTTTTTCAAATTTTCCTTGATGAATGATACGCCGGACGATCGACCGACCCGTCGAAGTCGTCGTCCCTTTGTCGTCGTCAATGCTCTCGCTTTCGAAAATTCTTCTTGATCGACAAAATTAAGTTTGACATTTGATTGCAACTGGGGTCTGAGAAATTTGGCAAACTGACGTAATTCCAGAACAAGACTCCGGACTAATTCATATTCTTTCCGTGATCACGGAAATTGCCTGATCAGGGAAAGAATATGAATTTTAGTCCGGAATATTATTCTGTAATTAAGTCATTT